TACAGGAGAGAAAGATGGAGGAGAATGAATCTGGCTACTTCTCTGTCCTCATTTTAACAGTTTCAGTATCTACCCTTACAGCAAGGTGGTATGGTATCTGAATGTTGAAACTTTCTCCTTGCTGTCAGGTAGCATGTTAGTGACTGGTGGGCAAATTAGAAGACATCGCTATTTCCCCTGACCCATGTTAGCTTGTAAGGAAGTAGTACTAGCTTGGTATTACAGAGTGACAAAATTTACTACCAACTCTTATTGCTCAGTACCATTCAAGCACTGTGTTAGAGAAAATGATTTTTGTTTTCAAGGAGCTTCCAGTTTAGCATCATTGGCATGTGTAAATACGTTGAGCGCTATGACACAGGTGTCTATCCTCAGGAGGCTCTGCCAACACAGTGGAACCCATCTGGATCAGAGGGAAAAGGCATGGCTTGAACACAACAGAGTCTTAAAGGTGAGGAGAAGGTAATCAGGTTACAGGAAACCAATGGGGTCCAAGCACTGTAAACCACAAGAGAAAAAGCACAGGAAATGATGCCCAGTGGTGTGTTAGGCTTGCCACTTGTAGCTCACTTGTAGTGTTGGGAGAGGGTAGACAGGAAGGCAGAACACAGAGACTAGAGCTGAAGAAGCAGGCAATGGGCCCAGGAACCTCAGGCCTTCAATGCCATTCCAGGGATCTCAGATCTTTTTTTTCTAACTTGGGAGGGTGATTTCAAGTAGTAAGGTGATACAGAGAGATACATTTTATCTAACTCTTATTGGCTGCAGTCTGAGAGAATACCTGAGACAGGCGAGTAGATCAGTCAGGCAAACTAGGAAGCCGCTGTGATAGTCCAGGTGAGAGATGACATTTATTCTAATTTTACATACAGGAGAAGCTCAGGTTACACTAGGCAGTGGTAGGAGGAACGGAAGAGAGAAGATCCTAGAAATAATAGGTAAGAAAAATGGAAGGGACTTGAAAGATTATTTGTATCCCTCGATGAAGGGCAGAAATGATGGGGAGAGTTCAGCCCTAGGTTTTGGGCAAAGGTGCCTAGCTGAATACCAGTTCCACTAACTGAGGTTAGGAAAAGGAGAGGAGGAGCAGGGTTACATGGGAAGGGGAACTAGGTTAATTTTGGAGAAGGATGAAAATCAGCTGATTGAGGCACCCCAAAACTTGGGAAAAGCCAGGAAGAGATAAATGTCTTTTAAGAGTCATCTGAATATAAGTCGTAGTTATAAATCTATTAGCACAATGAACCAAAAATGGAAATCTGGGAAATGGCAGAAAAAATTAAGAGTAGATAAGTAAAACAAGTCCATAAAGGAGAAAGAATTAACATAAGATGGAAAGAAAATACAGATGAGTGTAACATCCTTTGTGTCAAGGATGAGTGAGGAACCAGCAACATCAAACACAGCAGAGAGATGATGGCATGAGAGGAGATGGGAAACTCTCTAGATTGGATAATTGGGAGGTAAAATTAGGTTAAATTTTATGTCTCCTATTCCCACCAAAACAAAACAAACAAAGTCAGAGTCCTAAATCCAGTCCCTCAGAATGTGACACGTGACTTTATTTAGATACAGTCTTCCAAGTTAAAATGAGGTCATGAGGGTGGGCCTTATCCGATATGCCTGGGTGTCCTTATAAGAAGGGGATATTTGGACATACACAGATGCACATAGAGGGAAGATGACTGGAAAGACACAAGGAGACAGCCATCTGCAGCCAAGGAGAGAGGCCTGGAAACAATCTTTCTCTCGGTTCTCAGAAGGAAACAACCACGCCAGCCGCCATCTTGGCCTTCTTGCCTCCAGAACTCTGAGACACTAAGCTGCTGTTGTTCAAGCCACTCAGGTGCTTTGTTACAGCCGCCGTAGCAGACTCATGCAGTAAGTTCACTGAGCGGGATTTCAATGGCATGCGAGGGGAACACATCGGACTGGGAGGCAGCAGAGGTGTGACTAAAAAGGGGACATGTGGGCTACACTTTCAACAGCGTACATGGGATGAGCTGGGGAGGAACAGAGTGCTTAGTTTAATTCTATTTCAAGAATGCAAATTCTCGATTGGGCTTGAACAATCTCAAATACAAATGGATATCGTTTTCTAGAAAAGTATTTATTTCCATTTTTAAATGCATTGACATATAGTCATTTGTATTCCTGTTCATTGAATCCTGTGATTTAAAAAATCTCTATTGTGGTTAGTTCACAATTTTTGTTCTTGGTTTTATTTATGCATTTTCTCCCACTTTCTCCCCAATTAGTTTTGTCAGAGGTCTGCTATTTTATTAACTGAAAATAAGAATATTTGGTTTTGTTGACAAAATATAAATAAATAAAAGTTAAAGATGAGAGACAGAAATGATAGGAGTGGGTGGGAAAAACTGGCAGAGAAAGGTCATAATGGGATGAGGACAGCTTTGAAACCCTTGTCTTCGAGATTCTGAAAATAAGAGGTGAGACTTGGCGTGAGTGCAGGCTGGGAGGAAGCAGGAAGTTGTAGCATTTCTACCTGGTGATCTCTATTTTATTCATCGAGGCAGAGCTGAAGTGTTCTGCCTACGGTAGGGAGAAAGGCTGGGCAAGGAAATGATCAGGCTGGTGAAAATTGAGAACTACTCCAGGGGAGGGCGAGGAAGCTCAGAGAGGCCAGGATAAGAGGTGCTGAGGGTTTGGTCAAGATGCGGACATTTAATCTGCCACTGTATCAATCTTTAGTTGTTCGAATGTAACCAGAGCAGTGAAAGTGGATTGCTATAGAATTAATCCAGGTTCAGCACTTGCCAGGCAGTTGTGACCAAGGGATGGGATACAAGAAAACTTAGGATGCCATTAAGGGACTGGTTTTGGGGCCAGCCAGTGGCATGGTGGTGAAGGTGGCTGTGACCCACATGGCCATCTGTGAGGATCTAGACCTGGATCTGGTAGCTTGAGAAATGCACTGGGTGTATATGCGTGCTGTGCCCAAAGTCCTGAGAGGAGAGTGGAGAAGGGATTGTGGTGTGGTCATCCAACTCTGGAGGGTGATTTCTCACTTTCCCTCTATTTCTCCCACTCTCTCGGTCTCTCCAGAGAGCACATACACTCTATAGCAAAATTAAAAATTAAAAACTGGTTTTAATGTTTAAAAGTAGAGATCAGAGTAGGAAAGGATGGGAAACAGGTAAAGAAGGAAATAATCCATGGAAATGGGAAGATCCCTTTGTATTTCAGATCAGATTTTATGTAAGTGAATGTGACTTTGGAATGCAAAACCTGGAGAGAACTGAATTTTTAAGTATTATTTGTAGATCCAAAGAAATTTTAATGAATGAAATGAGAGCTTTTGGTTCTTGATGTAGAAGTCATTATGTGCTAAAACTATATAAAAGGCTACTAATGAAAATTTAGGCAAAAACTTACCAGAAACTCCTGGTGGTGTCTTAATGAATTTTCCATTGAAATGACCAATAACGGCTTCGCATTTTTCTGTTGATTCCATCCTGTTTATACATAAAAACAGAGCACTTATAAACATTAAGAAGTTTCTTAGTTTTCATTTTGTTCTGTGCATGTGGAAGCATTCTGATAGATTTTTCTGGATACAAATGAAGCCTACAAGAAATATGAATATGATAAAAAAAAAACATTTTAAAAAAATCTGTTGTTGTTTTTATCTAATGATTGCTTTTGTACTTCTATAGTAAAATGGTAATGGATAACCTAAACACATATTGAATCATAAAAGAAAAAATAAATCATATCCAGAGTGTTTAATACCAAGTACATGAAATGTGTAATTTTATTCCAATTGTTAGAACACTGAAAATCAATACCCAACAGCTGGGTTAGTCATGATACTGAACTACAAAACAAAAACAATTTAAAATCTAGTGTATTTACTACTTACTAGAATAATGATTATTTCAAAGATGATATTCCTTTTATGAATTCACAGAATGACAGAAGGTGATTTTTTCCTTTTTTTAATATCACTTCAGGTTTTGAATTAGCTTCATGAAATCATGTGTGTTGTCTGTCATCCTGGGCTTGGAGTAATTAAAGTCTGGAGGCTAACTTTACAACTTATTCTATCTCTACAGGTAGCTGAAAACATTCGAGAAACATTTCAGGGAGCTTTAATATCTCAGATTTATTTTTCCTCAGCATAGAATAATCTACTCACAATATGCTAGACTCCTAGACTGTCTAGAGTTACCCCTTACATTTAGTAGACGGTGATAGTTTAAAATAGCAACAGAAGTTCATTGGGTTCTTACTTTGGATACAGAAATGATACTACTCCATCTGCTCATTTAATCTGCCACTGTATCAATCTTTAGTTGTTCGAATGTAACCAGAGCAGTGAAAGTGGATTGCTATAGAATTAATCCAGGTTCAGCACTTGCCAGGCAGTTGTGACCAAGGGATGGGATACAAGAAAACTTAGGATGCCATTAAGGGACTGGTTTTGGGGCCAGCCAGTGGCATGGTGGTGAAGGTGGCTGTGACCCACATGGCCATCTGTGAGGATCTAGACCTGGATCTGGTAGCTTGAGAAATGCACTGGGTGTATATGCGTGCTGTGCCCAAAGTCCTGAGAGGAGAGTGGAGAAGGGATTGTGGTGTGGTCATCCAACTCTGGAGGGTGATTTCTCACTTTCCCTCTATTTCTCCCACTCTCTCGGTCTCTCCAGAGAGCACATACACTCTATAGCAAAATTAAAAATTAAAAACTGGTTTTAATGTTTAAAAGTAGAGATCAGAGTAGGAAAGGATGGGAAACAGGTAAAGAAGGAAATAATCCATGGAAATGGGAAGATCCCTTTGTATTTCAGATCAGATTTTATGTAAGTGAATGTGACTTTGGAATGCAAAACCTGGAGAGAACTGAATTTTTAAGTATTATTTGTAGATCCAAAGAAATTTTAATGAATGAAATGAGAGCTTTTGGTTCTTGATGTAGAAGTCATTATGTGCTAAAACTATATAAAAGGCTACTAATGAAAATTTAGGCAAAAACTTACCAGAAACTCCTGGTGGTGTCTTAATGAATTTTCCATTGAAATGACCAATAACGGCTTCGCATTTTTCTGTTGATTCCATCCTGTTTATACATAAAAACAGAGCACTTATAAACATTAAGAAGTTTCTTAGTTTTCATTTTGTTCTGTGCATGTGGAAGCATTCTGATAGATTTTTCTGGATACAAATGAAGCCTACAAGAAATATGAATATGATAAAAAAAAAACATTTTAAAAAAATCTGTTGTTGTTTTTATCTAATGATTGCTTTTGTACTTCTATAGTAAAATGGTAATGGATAACCTAAACACATATTGAATCATAAAAGAAAAAATAAATCATATCCAGAGTGTTTAATACCAAGTACATGAAATGTGTAATTTTATTCCAATTGTTAGAACACTGAAAATCAATACCCAACAGCTGGGTTAGTCATGATACTGAACTACAAAACAAAAACAATTTAAAATCTAGTGTATTTACTACTTACTAGAATAATGATTATTTCAAAGATGATATTCCTTTTATGAATTCACAGAATGACAGAAGGTGATTTTTTCCTTTTTTTAATATCACTTCAGGTTTTGAATTAGCTTCATGAAATCATGTGTGTTGTCTGTCATCCTGGGCTTGGAGTAATTAAAGTCTGGAGGCTAACTTTACAACTTATTCTATCTCTACAGGTAGCTGAAAACATTCGAGAAACATTTCAGGGAGCTTTAATATCTCAGATTTATTTTTCCTCAGCATAGAATAATCTACTCACAATATGCTAGACTCCTAGACTGTCTAGAGTTACCCCTTACATTTAGTAGACGGTGATAGTTTAAAATAGCAACAGAAGTTCATTGGGTTCTTACTTTGGATACAGAAATGATACTACTCCATCTGCTTTCAGAAAGCCCATGGGTGAGGAGATGATTCAGTGTCCCTCCTGGATTCTTTTCCCTGGCCATGTTGCCCACAGGGAGTCACTACTGGTAGGATATTTTAGTTGTATTACACTGCAAAATGGTCTGGTCTAACACAAAGAGCCATGGTTAGACTACAAACTAGAAAAACCAAGTATGAGGGGCCTTCAAAAAGTTTGTGGAAGATGGAATTGAAGTTTGAGTTTATTTAAATTTCAAAAACTTTTGAAATCCATGAATAATTTATTTTTATAATACACATTTTCAGGAACATTTTGAAGACTGCTTTCAATAGCCCTTGCTTTATTACTTGGCACGGAGAATACATAAGTCCATTTTTTGGCCTCAATTTGCTCATGTAAAATAAGACATAATAAATAATAATGCTTTGTTGCTATCACGCATCTGAGTGAAAGGGGCCTGTCACTGGTATACAAGAGCAAAATGGCAGCGGTATTTCCTCCAAAATCGAAGTCAATGCTTTACAACTGGTAGACATTTATTCATGATATTAATACATTCCTAAATTAAGTACCACATAAAACTAGCTTTTGTACATGGGCTTTCAGATTGGAACTTAACCAAAAATCAAATCTTTTTCTGTTTAGTAATTTCCTTTAGAAACCAGATTTATTACTATACTGATGTATCCTTTCTGGGGAAGAAGGAATAAAAAATTAGATAGAAGGGGTAAAGGTACTTTAGGTATATCTAAAACATTTCATTTCTTTAAAAAAAAAAGGAAGCCAAAATTTTGAAATATTAATATCCATTAAATTTTTTGTGGTTTAGGTAGATGTCATATCCTTGTTTTCTTTTGAATGTTGGAAATATTTCATTTAAAAGCCTAACTAGTTCACTTCATTGATGATGAATCAAATTTCCATTTCTGAGGGAAAAAAACGTTACCTATGGGATTTAGGAGACATCATTGTTTTGAAGAAGTTAATGGCATGCTGACCTAATAAATCCAAGCATTCAGGGCATATGTTCACAACTCTTGCTCATGTGATAGTTTCTTGCCATGAGGCATCAAATATTTAGTATTCTGAGGTTCAAGAATCTTAAGAACTTTAAAAGATTTGGAAAAATGCAAACCACTATTTACATGTGAATTAAGTTCATGGGGCAACCAGCTTGTATAACCTTGCCTTAAATTTTCTGTCTTTGGTCATATTTTGCTTTCCAGGATAACTCAGCTGAGCTGTCACTACTGACGTGATAAAGAAAGGCAGCAGTGCTTACCTAGCAAAGCCAACGCCACGACTTGTACCACTGGAGTCACGTAATATCCTTGTAGAAATGACTTGTCCAAATGGTTTGAGCATGTTTTCAAGCTCTTGTTCATCCATGGACAGTGGCAAATTAGAAATATACAGGTTGGTAGGGTCTTGTTCTTGTTGCTGAAACAGAACAGAGGATTATCCATTCATTTTCCAACAGAAGGTGGGTTTTTTTTTTTTTTTCCCACTAAAGGTTTTTGCCATTAGGCACATGGTTGCCAGAGAGAAACAGAGAGAGACAGACAGTGAGAGGAAAAGTGAGAAGTCATCCCCCAGAGAGAATGGCCATGCTGCAATCCCTTCTCTTCTCCTCTCCTCCTGGGATTTTGGGCATGCACAGGTGTGCCCAGTGTGATTTTTTTTTTTTTTTTGGAGAGATTTTTTTTGCTATAGGGCGTGTGCGCTCGCCAGACAGACAGAGACAGAGAGACAGAAAGCGAGAAATCACCCCCCCCCCCCAAAGGGGGATGGTCATGCTGCAATCCCTTCTCCTCCATTCTCCTCTCGGGATCTTGAGCATGCACGCACACGCACCCGGCGTGAGTTTTAAGCCACCGGGTCCGGGATGCAAACCGCGGTCGACTATGTGGGAGTCCAGCGGCATAGCCATTACGCTAGCTGCTGGTTCCCCCCAGTGCGATTTTCAAGCTGCCAGGTCTGGTACTTTAACTCTGGTAAGTTATGTGGGAGTCCAGCACCTTAACCACCAAACTGACCCCCAGAAGGTGAGACCTTTACGTTAACAAACCTACTTTTATTTAGTTACTCCTTTGCTCAAGGCCCGTTTAGAGTACCACCTAGTGTGACCATGGAACTGTAGAATACTCAATTCACCGTGTACACTTGAGAATTCGATCTTGGAAGGTTGGGCAGTCTGCAGGTCAGATGTGATCCTCCACTCCATTCTTAGCAGATTTGGAAGTGGCACACTTAGCAGGCACTACTGAAATGGAGGTGATGCCCTCATGGAACTGCAACTCTGGACTATTTGTGGTGTTTCCAAAAATAACCAACCTCTCCTCCACTGCTATTTTTAGGAGTTCATTTCAGGCACACTATTGCATGGTAAGCAACTAGCACTAATTCAATTTGGAGATACATGAAGGATTCTGGTCTCAGTCGTCTAGAGTCCAGTAGGGACTATGTCCAAATTCCCCTCCTCTGCTGTACAGCAGAGTCCATACTATTTTTGAGTTGTGATCACCAGCAAAAAACAAAAACAAAAACAAAACCTCTTAAATGACCCAAAATGAGAAATTTCAAAGCCATATAAAACAACCAACTCTGGGCACAGCAAATTTTAGTACTTTGGAAAAGCTAAAATCAAGAATAGATGGGAGAGGGTCGAGGCAGGGAAGTTTGCTAAATCTTTGCCACACACAGCATGATTTAGGGGCCCTCAGTAATTCAATCACCTGGGAGCTTATCAGAAATGTAGAGACTCAGGCCCTACTCCAGACCTACACAACTGGGAAGATGCATTTTCACAAGATCCCAGGGTGATTCACATAGACATGAAAATTTTGAAAGAAATACTCTTAGATCATACCCCCCAGTCCTTCCTCTCCTCAGACAGATTCAGCTTAAACCAAAGAAGACAAACAACCGAATTTTCTGAGAACCAGTAACTGCTGTGCATATTCACAAAAAGTATGATATTCAAGTCATCAGGAAAAAATCTCTTACGACAACTGAAATATTTTCTAACCAAGTCAAAATACATCTTTGTCTCCTTAATGAACTTAAAATCAGCCTTTCTTTTAATTTTATTAACCGACTGTATCTTTACATATTGAAACATAGGAAAGCTTAAGATTTTTCTTTAATAAGCACTATTAGTAAAGTTATTAATTGATGTAGTAGCCTTAGGCAACAGAATAGCACACTCTTATAACTTCCTAGATTCCAAAATGCATAGTACTTTAAAAATATATGTGAAGCATTAGGCATGTTTGAATTTGTACAAAGCCTTTACTTTCAAATGTATCACAGCATTAATTAAACCTGAAATAAAATTTTTCTTTTTATATAATCTGCAAATAAAAGTGAACAGTGATCTTCCTTGTCATACTTATCTGGTAAGGTTAAAAATGCCAATATGGTATTATAGGGGGTGGCAAATACTCAGGGGTATTTCCAAGAATTAAACAAAAACAAAGAAACCAAGGGCAAGAAGTACTATTCTTGTAAGTTGCTGGCCCTGACACCAAGGCAGGCAGGGTGCAGCCAGGCCAGTCCCAGAGGCACAGAGCAGTGACTCCCAGTTGAGGTGCTGCAGAGTCTCAGGGGTGTATCATGCGGGTGGGTCCAAGAAATAAATTAAAATTTTTTAAATACTCAAAAGCCAGCTTAGAGACCAGCAGGTGGCATTGTGGTTCAGGGGTCCCACATTGCCAACCACAGTTTAAGTCCCAGACCTGGCACCTGGTGGCTTGAAAAATCATGCCACGTCAGGTGCATGTGCAGGCACACCCAAAATCCTGATAGGAGAATGGAGGAGAAAGGATTGCAGTATGGTCATTCTCCCCACCCCCAGGAGGGGTGATTTCTTACTTTCCCTCACTATGTCTCCAGGGAGAGAGCACACAGGAACCCTGTGGCAAAACCTACAAGAAGAAAAAGAGCCAGCTGAATGTTTACCCTGATTAATTTTTCACAGGCTGAACAAGAAGACAATTCTCTTTACTTCTGCCTGAAATTGGATAAACTCAGTATGGTACCGGTGATTATCTCATGTGAAGCAAAACCCACAGAAAGTATACCTTTAGTATCTAAAAATTGGAAAGTGATGTGTTTAACATGCAGATAATAATAGATGCAATGTCTCAAAATGTGGAGAAAAGCATTACTAATGGGTTTAGGTATAAAAGTTTTGAGGTTCTTTCCTGGTGGGGCAAGAGGTAAATAATGCCTTATCCCCTTACTCAGCTTCACAAGCTACCTCTGTCCACCTTGCCCAGTTCATCACACAGCATCATTCTGGCTCTACCTTCCCAAATGTTGTTAGCATTCTTGAAGTGCAAGATGGTATTTGTTACTACAGAAGTCTGGTTCTGAATCAGATGATACAAACAGGGTCCTTTTTTCTGTGGCCTAACACAGCTTAAGAACATTTCCAGTGTATCTGGTACACATTAAACTCCTGTAAAATAACTGTGAATCCAGTCCTGCCTTCTGGTAGCTGACAGTTAATAAGGGAGACATGAACACGTGTAATGGAAGCCATGACAGAGATGCGGCCAATCACAGTGGGAAGACAGATGGAGGAGCATGTCTTAGGGGATCAGAGAACACTTTGTTAGGAAGACATGGCCATGAGCTGGGACTTAGAAAAAACAGATGTCAGGCTGAAGCCAGAGTGTGAAAGGGTAACTGAGTTTGGGTGAATTTTCCCACTTAAGCAGTGTTAGCAGCATGAATGGCTTTATCCTGAAGTGTCAAGTCAAAATAGCTTTGTCAGAGCAGCAACATTTTCTTGAAGTCTTGTGCTTTATAGTAAAAAGGAGAAATAAGTTATGTAAATGTTACTATCTATTGCACTTCCTATCTATTGGAATTTGTTTCACACTATCAAGTAACGCTGACACTCCAGCAAGATATGTCATGTTTATCCTGACTTCATGTGCTCTGGTAGGAGAGGGGGTGGAAGGAGGAACCGGTTTGTAAGCCACACCTTCAAAAATCAGGTGGTTTTGAAAATACAAGGCACGGGAGTGAGATCAACCCTCTCTTAGAAAGATTTCTGAATCATGCTTAGTCAGATTCAGAATGAAGTTGGGAACTCCCTAATTGAAAGCTGTTAAGACACTCTTTGGACAAAGATATGGCATTAAAAGATGTTACAAAAGAAACATATATCAAAATATTGTGGGCTTTCAAAATTGCAATTATGAAATTCAAAATGACTAATATTGAAGAATGATTAGAAGATAATGTCATATCTGAGGTATTTTTAAAAGGGGGTTGATAATGTAGGAGCCAAATACTTTATAAACCTATGTTTTAGTTGTTTCTATTATTAAAATGTTAATAAAAATAGTAGATCCTTTAAAGTTTTGATTCAACCTGAAAGTTTTCCAACCAATGAAGCAAAAATAATTTTTTTTTTGAAGAGGTTTTTTTGCTATAGGGCACGTGTGCTCACCAGACAGACAGAGACAGACAGAGAGATAGAAAGCGAGAAATCACCCCCCAGGGGAAATGGCCATGCCACAATCCCTTCTCCTCCATTCTCCTCTTGGGATCTTGGGCATGCACGCACACGCGCCTGGCATGAGTTTAAGCCACCAGGTCAGAACTCTAACAGTAGCCAACTACATGCAAGTTCAGCAACATAGGCATTATGCTAACTGCTGGTCCCCCAAAATAAATTTTTTTAAGTGCTCAAAATCAGAATCCAGAAAGAAATTGCGCTCTTAATCTATTCTTTGCTACAGTGAGAAGAGCAGATTAAATATACATAAATATTGCCTATGATGCTAATGCATTTGCTTTCAATAGCAGTAACAGTTCAACAGCTGTCAGTTAGGTCCCTTCATTTGGAATGAATTTTTAAAATCTAATGTCTTTATCTTCTGTTTATGATGGTCAATCTGTCCTTCAAAAATTACTCAGAAAGGGACCAGCAGTTAGCATAATGGCTATGTCGCTGGACTCCCATGTAGTTGACCGTGGTTCGAGTCCTGGACCTGGTGGCTTAAATTCACGCCGGGTGCGTGTGCCTGCGTGCCCAGGATCCCGAGAGGAGAATGGAGGAGAAGGGATTGTGGTGTGGCCATACCCCCTGGGGGGTGATTTCTCGCTTTCTGTCTCTATGTCTCTCTCTGTCTTTCTGGCGAGTGCATGTGCCCTATAGCAAAAACCTCTCCAAAAAAAAAAATTATTCAGAAACTTGCAGTAATTTTAAAATTGAAAAATAAAACAAAATGCAAAAGAAAGAGAAGAAATTCCAAGTTGGCAGCATTGGCCACAAAAGCATCTAATCCCTTAAAAGTTCCATGGATTCACATTGCCATACATCTAGAGCGAGTGAAACACACTGTGCTTGTAGTAATTGGCCGTGTTCCTTGAATAAGGATAATTTAATTGTTTAAAATCAATGTCAAGGGCCAGCTGTTGGT